CCAAGAACGGCCACTTGGACGATTTCGGAACGAGGTTTTGCAGGGCGTGTTTTGGGTGTTGGCAATGGCAGCGGCAAGGCCTTCAGAAGCTCTTCGCTGCCTTGACTGGCATTTCGCTCCTGCAGAAGGCTTCGAGCTTTGAGAAGCAATGGAGTAGCAGCCCTGGCACAAGCTCGTCCGTGCAGGTCTCTTACTCGGAGACTGCCCGCTTCCACAGCAGCAAGGAGCATCCAGTATCTGGGCTGAGATAGGGGATTTGAGTGGCCTCTGTGCAGTTCCTCTGTGCCGTTGCACTTCTGTGGCACCCTGAGATGCCCTGAGGTGAACGGGCAGGTGATGCACCCTCTGATCTGGAACTTGACCCGCTTCCACCCCTTCTGGGCGCTGATCGAGATGACGATGGGCATCGTCGCGGCCAGGCACGTCATGCTGGACACGGAGGAGGACAAGAAGAAGCCGACCACGCCGCTGGAGCTCAAGTCGAGTTCGCCAAACAGAGGCTTTCCGTCATGCTTTCCTCGTCTTGTTTGGTCTCCCGCCCTGGCCCAAGGAACCCCCTGTGGCTCTTCATGGCGGCTTACGCTTCCCTGGGTCTGCGCTTGACCAAGTTCGACTTCAACGTGGGGTCCTCAGGTATGCACAGGTGCTGTCGGCTGTCGGGTGTCGGGCGAGCTGCGAGCTCCCTTGGGATTCGTGTGACGTGGGGCCGGCGTGGGCTGGGCCGCGAGGATGCGATCATTCGTGGCTTGATCTTTGTCCCGATCTTCACGAAGTTCCTGACGCAGATGCACAGGGATGCGCTCTCTGCGAATCCGGCAGCTGCATCTGAAACCAGCAGGGATGAGCATGGTGTGGACTCTAGATTTTTGTTTGCGGAGGGGGAACACTGCAGGCAGCCATCACACGCTTCTTCGGCTCCAAGCCGATGGCCACGCTGGGCTCCATCGCCTTCCCGATGTTCATCCTGCACCGCGGCCAAGCACTGGAGAAAGCATTCCCCCATGTGCCATGGTTCCTAGGTCCTAGACTTTGCACTGCTCTGCATTTGCTTGTGCTCGCCAGGCACGGCCCAATTGGACAGATCTTCTACAAGAAGGCACTACGGACCTGTTGCAAGCGAGGCGATAGATGTGTGCAGGCGTCAGTTGTGCAGCGGCAGGTTCTGGCCAAGCGGATCTGGGGTGCTCCGATGCCGACGTCCTTCTTCCCGCTCTAAGCTCAGCTACACAACCCACCTTGCTTGAATGCGCTTCAGTAAGACTTATGGCTCACAAGGTTCTACCTCC